CCTCTTTAAAGTCCAAGCTCCAAATACAGTCTCATTATGAAGTACTTGGGGTTAAGACTTCAGCATATGAATGTTAAAGGAACACAATTTAGCCCATAACTATATATATACGCATATATATAGTAATTGTATATAGTGTGTATGTGGATACACACTATCAATATAAATAACTCATGGACTCTGACTAAACATGGTGGATCATACACGTGTTTATCCCTACTCCCTTCCAAAACTCCGTCAAAACAATGGTAAATGAATAAAAAGATATAAGTTGACAAGGAGAAAGAAGATCGGAGAGGAGACAATCGTGGTCAAGGCACAGGACACGCTCTACAAGCCTGCCGGAAGGAACCATGGTAACCGACTGAGCCAGCAGAAGCCAAGGGTCTCTGTGGTGCCCCCAGGGCACATTGCAAAGGAATCTGTAGCTCCCTGTGGAGAAGCACAGCAGGGGTGAATGGGAAAGGTGAGGAAACTTGTGCCAAACCCTCGGCCATCAGTCACTTTCCAGTAAGTCCTCAAATCCTCCAAACAAGTCCGTAGCCTGGAGTTTCTGATCTCCAGCTGGCAGAGAAGGAAGCAGAAGTTCCAGGGATTGGGGGGAGGGTAAAGGAGACCCTCTGTTTGGGGTAATTAGCCGAGGGCCTGGAGCCAGAGAAATGGCAGTGCTGGTCCCTGGTCCGCCAAGTCCCAGAGCTAGCTCCTGTTTGCTCAGGATGCGTGGCGGCTGAGCGGTATTTGGACAGTGTCCCCCTCCTCCCATGCCAGCCCGATGAGTTCCATCACCCCGTTCCTACGTGCCCGCAGGCTCCCATGAGACCTCAGAATCCACCACCACCAAGGATGAGATACGCAGGATCAAGACTGAACATGCTTGCTGGTGATAAGGATCGCTGGGCACCATACTCCTGTCTCTCTCTCAATCTGTCTCTGTGTGTGTGTGTGTGTGTGTGTGTGTGTGTGTGTGTGTGTGTGGCCTGGGACGCAGGGGGAGGGGTCAAAGGACTCCTAAGGCCTCATCAGATTTAAGGATGTCTGTATTTGTGGGGAAGGATTTCCTGAAATGTGGGTCTGAGGATGCTGGAGACGGGCACCCAGGAGGGGCCGAAGAAGAGGGCAGCCCCACAGAGGCAGGACCATGGAGAAGCTGGGCCAGGCCCGCTGAACACTTGGGCTCCTCAGCCAAGGGGGGTGGGGGGAGGGTGGACTGGCCGGGGTTGGGGTGAAGGTCAGGCGGCAAGTCAAGGCAGGGCGGGGACCCGGGAGGGTGGATGGGAGGTGGGAGGTCTCGAGGGCTGGCTGCCCAGGCCTATCCTAACAGGGTGGGGAGGAGCCTTGGGAGGGCCGGCAGCTGGAGGGGCCGCGGTGGGGGGGCAGTGGGAGGAGATGGAGACCGGACCGTGGATTGGAAGGTGGGGGACAGGAAGAGGCTGACAGGCTTGCCACAGTCAGCCAGGAGAAGGGCAGCAGAGACCGAGGCACGGGAGAGGAGGTGAGAAGGGGAGAGGGCTGGGGAGGCAGCTGGGTGAAAGGCGGAGCCACAGGGAGCAGCTCCAAGGGTGAGATCGGTCAACCCGACTGTCCGTCTGTCCGTCCATGAGCCTTTGCTGTAAGGCAACACCCTGATATCTCTCACCAAGGGGGCTTGTTTCCACCTCTGTAACCTCCTGATTCTAAGACTGTCTGTAACCAGAGTTCAGGGGGTGGGTCCACGCCTCAGGCAGCCCCAGGCGGGGCTGGGGGTTGGGATCAGGAGGGCTGGGAGAGGGGTGGTGGGGAAGGCCCCAGAAAAGGAGTTAAAGGGGGGAGCGCCTGCCTCTAGAACAGTGGGGCGGGACTGAGACCTGGGTTTCTGGGGGCAGGGGCAGGGCCAGTGGCCACAAGCAGCCCCAGCACAGGGAGGGTTAAGCATCCTCCGTTCCCCCTTCCCACCCTGCTCTGGCCCCTCCCTTGTGTTTACGTCCTCCCAAAAAAATTCGTATTCGTCCTCCCCAAAATATTCTGGCCTTCGGGCCTCCAGCTGGCCTCCATTCGGTGTCCTCCCCCTCCCCCTTGAGTTAGCCTTGGGGGCCGAGGGAAGCCCGGGCTCCGAGGGCTGCGAGGGAGCCAGCAGGCTCAGGGCGCTGGGGGAGAAGCGCACTGCAGAGGCTGAGGTAGGGGGAGCCGAGAGGGGACTGGCGACACGGGGGAAAGAAATCAGGAGGCCGAGAGCGGTGGTAGCGGGAGGCAGGAGGGCTTCCCAGGCTGTTGGCCTGAGGACAAAAGCCAGCTCAGCACCTAGCCAGGGCAAGGCCAGCTGTGGGCTGAGCGGGATCCCAGGAAAGCTGGGGGGCGGGGTGGGGGGGCGCGAGCACCAGGGGAATACCAGGGGAATCTCAGGGCCACTTCCTGCCCCTCCACCTCTGCCCCCCGCACCAGCTGCAGGGCCAGGGAGCCGAACACACTCTGTGCGGGGCCGGGGCAACAGAGGTGACGCCATGTGGCAGCTGCTGATCCCGCTGGCGCTGTGGCTGGGCCTGGTGGGCGTGGGCAGCGCGGAGCTCACAGCGGCCCAGCAGCGGGGCCTGCAGGTGGCCCTGGAAGAATTCCACAAACACCCGCCTGTTCAGTGGGCCTTCAAGGAGATTGGTGTGGACAGTGCCACGGACACGGTCAGCAGCACTGCCTGGGGAGGGGAGGGTAGGGTAGGGGAGGGGACGGGGGCCACAAGCTTGTTCCGAGGAAGCAGATGCAAAAGCGCCTGGGCTCTGAGCACCTGGTTCTCGGGAGGCCAGCATCCCAGCCGCCTCCTTGGAAGTGCCACCTGGTGGGGGGGGGAGTCACATCCAGGAATCGGAATCGCTCTGCCCACTCAGCCGGATGCTGACCTGTCTCTGTCTGTCGGCAGCCCTTCCCTGCAGGGACCTTTGTGAGGCTGGAATTTAAGCTCCAGCAGACCAACTGCCGGAAGAAAGACTGGAAAAAAGCTGAGTGCAAAGTCAAGCCCAATGGGGTGAGCGAAGGCCTGTGTGTGCGCGCGTGTGTGAGAGAGAGAGGCGGGGGCATTCGCTGGTGTGAGCGTACGTCACCGGGGTGCAGGGAGAGATCCGGCAAGGAGCCCCGAGGTTGGGCAGCCTCCCTAGAGGCCGGCCTGGCCGTGTGGGCCCCGGGTTGTGGTGCTGTGGGCGGCCCGGGCCGGGACGCACGTTCTCCGGACAGAGTCCGCCTCCGTCCGAGCTCATCCCGTAGGCTTCTGGTCACTGGAGGAAGAGGCCCACGGTTCGGGGTTTGCCGGGCGCCCATCTCAGGCCCACTGAACTGCCCGCTTTCCGTGAGTCTTCGGGTAGACAGGGCCGAGCCTGGGCTGATCCGCAGCCGCGCTCAGCTGTACTCCACCACCACCACCGGGACGCCCCGGCCGGGAGCACCACCATCTGGTTCTAGTCCCCGCCCTTCCAGTCGCCAGCCTGTCACTCTGGGTTCCTTGAAGGCCTCAGTTCCTTCCATCTATTAAAGGAGGGACTGGGTTATACCAGTGATTTTTCCAGACTTTGCTGTCACAACCCTTGTGTTCCAATCAAATCTTCTAAGAAAACGCAAAGAAATGTGACAGCTCAGTAGAGTGGCTCAGGTGAGAGTCCGGTGGGGAGAGGCCGTCTGGGGAAGGAGTCCTGCCCACACAGGCTCAAGGCCCGGGAGCTCCCCGGCCCGGGCTGCGCCTCACCCAGAACCAGCTGGCCGGCGGGACCCCTCGCTCAGCCCTAGGGCCTGCGGGGAGGACCCACGTCCCCGGCACGCAGCCCCCGGCTTCTGTCCCGCTGGGGCCACAGGCCTGCCCTCACCGCTCTCCTCTCCCGCCCCGTGCTGCCCTCCGCAGAGGAAGCGGAAATGCCTGGCCTGCGTCAAGCTCAACTCTGCAGACAAAGTCCTAGGCCGGATGGTCCACTGCCCCATATTCACGCAGGTTCAGCGGGTACGAGTGGGCAGAGGAGGAGGGGGAGAGGCGGGGGGAGGTCGGTAACAGGGAGAGAAGCGGCGCCTGTGGAGCCTGCGAGGAAGGGCTGAGGAGGTTGGGAAGGGGGGAGGGGGGAGGGGCCTGGCCCCGCTACTCCCCAAGGGATGTGGAGGTGGGTGCCACAGAGGGTGCAGGCACCCTCCCCGGGCACTCTCTGTGGGGACGCCCTCCGCGGGGACGCCGGGGGCCTGAGCAGCTGCTGGCGCCGGCAGGAGGCTGAGGAGCAGCACGAGGCGCAGTGCGGCCGGGTGGAGCGGGCAGGGGAGGACCCCCACAGCTACTACTTCCCGGGACAGTTTGCCTTCTTCAAGGCCCTGCCCTCCAGCTGAGGTAGGCGGCGGGACAAGGGAGGGCTGCGCGGGGGGTGGGGGGGGGGGGGGGGGGGGCGAGGGAGGGGGGCGTGGGGCGGGACGGCCCTCCAGTGTTTGGGGANCCTGAGCAGCTGCTGGCGCCGGCAGGAGGCTGAGGAGCAGCACGAGGCGCAGTGCGGCCGGGTGGAGCGGGCAGGGGAGGACCCCCACAGCTACTACTTCCCGGGACAGTTTGCCTTCTTCAAGGCCCTGCCCTCCAGCTGAGGTAGGCGGCGGGACAAGGGAGGGCTGCGTGGGGGGCGAGGGAGGGCTGAGCGGGGGCGAGGGAGGGCTGCGTGGGGCGGGACGGCCCTCCAGTGTTTGGGGATGGGAGGCTGGCTGGGGAGACGGCGGGGGAGGGCAAGGGGGAGAGGAGTCAGAGCTGGTTTCTCTGTCCTCTCCTCCAGACGCTCGTCCCGCTTCCCGGACAGTAGCAGGGGAACCAGTGCAAGCCTGACCTCCGTCCCTGCGCCCAGGGAGGCCGATCCCATTACCCCCGAGCGAATAAAACTGCTCTCCCAGATGCGCTGCTGCCTCTCTTGCACGCCCCCCCTTGCACGCCCCCCTTCTCCTCAGCTCAGCTGCGGGAGTGAGTGAGGAAGAGCTGGGAAAACAAAGCTCGCGCATGGAAAATGACAGACCGACAGACAGGCAGCAATGCTTCCTAAAACAGAAAGATTTAATAGGGATCGGCGTGGGTGAGGGTGGGCAGCGGAGGCTCCAGGGTCCCAGGGGATGGGGGGGGCCCGCAGCAGAGGGTCATTTGGAAGGTGGGTCAACGCCAGCTTCCGGGCTCTGCCGCGGCCTCTCCCAGGACTGGCCGGGACAGCGGACACAGGTTCCCGACCTTTCTCATCTTCAGCCTTATGAAAAAGCGACTGTCTTCCCTCAAGTCTCAGACCCGCGCAGCCAGGCGTGGCAGCCGTGGACACGGCCTCCTCCCAGGTGCACAGTGCAGGTGGTGCCTGGCCGCTTGAGGAGAGTCCTTACACGTGCCAGAGGCCACCGAGGGGTGTGTCCTTGCAGCTCGGGGAGGGACGGTATGGGATTTTCCTTGAGGCAGAGGAAGAGGGAGGCGCTGCTCTTAGGAACACAGATAAACGAAGGGCCCAGTCTGCGGCCCGGCGGCCAGCATGAGGAGCGCGTGGACGTGTCCCCGTAGGGGAGACATGGGCAGCTGGGCCACAGTATGCTAACCCTGGGGCCACGTGCCCAGCTGCCACGGGCCGCGGGGATACTCAAAACACAAAGGATGAGGTGGCGCCTGCGGGGCTGAGCGCCTGCTCGGCCCGGGCCAGACTGTCGCGGGCCTGGCGGTCCAGCTCGTGGCACTCCCGCAGCGAGTCCTGAAACTGCCGGCATGCCTCCTCCAGGATGGAGCTGCTCCGGCCGGGCCACGACTCCCAGTACCCTGGCTCTACCCAGGGCTGCGCCTCGGGGGCCCTCGGGCCCGGGCTGGAGCTGGGGCGCAACGAGCTGTCCAGGTCACGGCACAGCTGGTAGAACTCACTGCCGCGCCCGGTCACGCGCTCGCCATCGATGACCTTCAGGCCGGGCAGCAGCTCCCGGACCAGCGCGGCGTAGGCGGGGCTGGCGCACAGCGGGTTGCTGAGCCGGGCCAGCGGGTCCCGGAGCCGCAGGCACTGGAGGCTGCGCAGGCCGGCCAGACACTGCAGCTGCGCGGGGGCGGCCAGCTGGTTGCCCGCCGCGTTGAGGCTCTGCAGGTTCTCGCAGGCGGCCAGCGGCTCCAGCCCCGTCAGCCGGTTGTCGGCGACGTTGAGCACCACCAGCTGGCGCAGGGAGGCCAGCGGGCCCAGCTGGGTGAGGGCGTTGCCCGACAGGTCCAGCCACTCGAGGGCCAGGCACTCCCCCAGGCAGCCCAGGTCGGCCAGCCCCAGGCCCCGAAGCTTCAGCAGCAGGATGGACTCCAGGGCAAACTCACCAGAGCGCGACTTGAGCAGCTGGGGCGTGACTCGCACCCCGTCCGCCTCTCCTGGCTTCTCTGCCTGGGGCTCCATCAGACGGCGTCAGTCCAGGCGGCTGGGGCCCTGGTCCTGCCGCAGGGACGCGGGTGCCGGGGGGGGCAGTTGACCGCTTGCCCCGAAAAGGGGGCCGAGTGTGCTCAGGCTGGTGCGGGGGCCTGTTTCCAGCACCCCTGCTCGAGGACCGGACGCTCCTGAGGACGGACAAGCAAATGGTAAGCAGGCCTCTCCTGAGCACCGAGCCCGCAGCAGGTGACTGCACCACCCAGCCTGGACCACCGAGGCAGGAGCCTGGCTGGCCCCGCAAGACCTGAGGCCACAGAGCCCCTCGAGGGAGGTGGCCCAGGCCCAGGCCCCCACCTAAGAGGGGGACCCTGACGAGCTCTGGCAGTTACGGCCACACTGGACGGAAGGCAGAATCTTCCCATTTTCCGTCTCGGCACCAGAAGGCACAATCTCTAAATTTTCCTTTCTCGGCAGCCACTCGTGATCTATCTTTATGAATCCTGAGGTGTTTTCTTTTAACTATTTTAATTAGTTTTTGAATAGATTATAGGTCACCACCCTCAACAATTTCCTTTTTGTTTCCTGCCATATGCAGACCCAAATGGCAGCATGATGGGTCCTGCTCTGTCCTCTCGCAAATGGTCTTGACTCAGATTTAGTTTTAATTTTTTTAATGTTTATTCATTTTCTTGAGAGAGAATGTAGGTGGGGGAGGGGCAGAGAGTGGGGAACAGAAGATCCAAAGTGGGCTCTGCCCTGACAGGCTGACAGCAGTGAGCCCGACGCAGGGCTTGAACCCACGAACTGTGAGATCATGACCTGAGTCGAAGTCGGACGCTCAGCTGACTGAGCCACCCAGGACCCCCCAATCCCACCACTTCTTTATATCTTTTAAAACTGACTCAATGTTTTTTTCAAACATTAGCAACGCGTTCAGAAGGGTCTCCAGATTGTGTGGGCCAACACGTAGCCTCTGGTCGCAGTTGCGGGGCCTGAAGGCTCAGCTCTCAGTCCAAGATGAGGAGACTGAGGTCAAGGAAAGGAAGGGAGGGTGAAGGTCCCGCGAGCAGGTGCAGCACTGCCAGTCCTGACGGCACACCTCTCCACCATCCGGCCTACCACCCGCCAAACTAGCTCTTTACTCTGGCATCGACGGACGGGCATCGATCCCTACGTGCCAGACAGCACGGTCCCACTGCAAACATGGCGTCACTTCCAAAGAACACAAGCGGGGAGAAGGCCAGGCAAAGAGGCCATCCTGGCGGGAAGGACCTGGATGGGAAGAACCCATCCTGAGTTCTGGAAAGGCAGGGGAGGGAGGGCCTTTCCAGTACCAACGGCCGGGGGACAGCATAAGCATAGGTGCCAGTGCAAGGCCGTGGAGCAGGAGGGAGGAGGCCTGGCAATGTTGGCCACAGCAGGGTCAAGGTTTGAGCAGAGAGAAAACAAGAAGGGACCTCTGCTCCAGTGGCGGAGTCCCAACCCTGCAGACTCTGGCCGGGCCTGGGCCAGGCAGGGCGACGCCTGCAAAGAACCATGGGACCATTCACTCCTGCTGTTTATAAAACCTGGACTCCAGGGTGTTGATGAGTCCCAAGTCTGCGTTTACACAATCCACACGGCTTTTCAGTTCCCTCTCCAAGGGAACCAGGCCCAGAGCTCCTCCCACACCCCCACGGGGAGCTGGGGAGGCTGCGAACATCTGATCCGCCTCCCCCACAGCTTTACCTAGCTCCCTCTAGTCCACAACACCCCTTCGTTTCCACTTCATTTCTTTCCAAAAGCGATTCAGGCATCCACTAAGAGGTCCGGTTCACTGTATTCGAATGGGATCTACAGGGCCTGTAAGCAGCAAGGGACGCAGTCAACTTTGCACCCACTTAAAACTGTCACGTGGGGGGGTGCAAGAGGGGTTCTCGCACTGGGTGCAGAACTGCCATAAAAGCACTGGAAAGACAGGCTTCCCGGAGGGCAGTGAGCATGGAAGAGTCTAGACCAGCTTCTAACGCTCCGGCCGTGTCACTGGCTGCAGGGGCTCCCTTCCCCAATGTGTGGGGCTCATGGGACAGCCTGGGGGGCAAGACATTCAGCTGGAGGTGACCGTGTGCATCAGGCCCGGGAGGCGGCCGAAGCTCCAGGCTGAAGGGACTCCAGCGTCACTTGCCAAGGTGCCCGGTGAGAACGTGTGGCTCACGGGCCGGCCTTCCGCAGGCCACAGAGCTCTCTCAGTATCTGCAGCCTCTGTCCAGGACTATGCACAGCCTCCCAACCACACACTATTTTGGGGGTGAACGTGGTCAGGAGCCCCTGGCGCACAGTGAAAGGGAGCAGTCACGAGCTGATCTCAAAAGAATGCCAACATTTATGAAGCTAGATGGAGGGCACTGACGAGCAGCCAGACGGAGGTGTGCAAGGACCCAGTGACGGACATAGTGTTAAAATGGCCACCGGACTCGAGAGGCGGCCCCTGGGTGGAGCAGCGCCAGGCGGCGGCTAGCCCCCAGCCCGACCACGACGGTTAGGGAGCAATGCCCTGAGGAACTGGCCCAGTGACCATCCAGACAGAGATGGCCACCATGGAGGGAAGGGACAGGGGACCTGGCAGTGGTGGGGCTGGGGGAGGGGGGGAACTGCACGTGCTCCCCACGTTACAGCTGGGAGGAGCGCTTTTGCAGAAGAGGAAACAGGAGCGAAGAGCACATTAACTGGAAATCGGGACTTCCGGGCCCCGAGGTCCTGCCTGGCAGGAGGCACTCAGCCCTCCAGCTCATGGGACCACGTCCCCGCTGGCTACAGAACCCGGACTCCTCAGCACCCAGACCTCTGCTCTGCCCCCTCGCATCCTCCCTGGAATCTGCACGCCTTAGGCAGGCAGGTCTGAGCCTGCCCGAGCACCCGCCTGAGCACTCGCCCTCCCAGCCTGCAACCCTGCTAACACACGGGCAGGCGGGCGGCCTTGCCGATGGAACAGCACACCCCCACCCCCCTGCCCCCCTGCGGCACGGTTCCTCCCTGAACATCCGGAGCCCGGATCCTCCCATCCTGGTCCAGCATGTGTCTGTGGCAGGACTTGGTCACACGGATGGGACCGTGACTAAGGCAGAGCGGACACTCGTCTATCCTGCGGGAGGGCCACCTTCCCTCGTTCTGAATTGCCACTAATGAGCCTCAGTTTACCTACCTAGCTAGTGGGCTGTAAAACGATGCCCAGGAGCCAGCTGAGGTAGGAAGGGGGAAGTGGTTAACGAATTGCCCCTCAAGTGGACAGTCACATGGCTGCTTCAATGACCCCGGAGCCCCTTCCTCCGGCCCATCCCCTCCCCTCCCCAGTGGAGATGAGGGTCCTTTGCATCAGCACAACTGCCACCTGAGACTGGGGGAGTCTCTGTCGTGGTGGTGATTCTGCACGTCGCAGGAGTTTAGCAGCATCCCTGTGCCTCAGAGAAGCCAGGAGCAGCCCCACCAACAAGCTGTGAGAAGCCAACGTCTCCAAACACTGCCAAGTGTCCCCAAGGGACAAAACTGCTCTCCCCCCACCAAGGGCCACTGCTTGGGAACCAGCCAGCTTCTCCTTCACCTTCTTCTACCAGTCCCCACACCCCCTCCTGGCCTGCTAACCCTGAAGAGCCAGGCCCAGCCCCCAGGGCACCTCACATTCCCCCCTCTCCCACTGAATAAGAATTTGGGAGGGGGTGCGGGACTCTGAGCACGAACCACACAAATCACATGAACCACACGTGCACTTTTAGGAAAGGCAGCAGAGCCGCCCAGGGCCATGCTCTGAGCTTACTATCCAACTTGATCTAGAATAGTCCAGGCCCCTCCCCTCCCCTCCCAGACAGAGGAGCCTAATATAGCTGGGGGGGGGTGGGTAGGGTTGGGCGGAGGAGGATGTGACCTGAGCGATTTGGAGACTGGACTTTATATCACACTACTCCAACCACTAAACATGTTTACAAAGCTTTATTTAGGAGGTGAAGATGCAGTAATTACAGTTTTCTGACGAAAGTACGGCATCCTCAACACGACGGAGGGTAGGGTCCCCAGGTAAAGAAAATAGAGGAAGTATGTCTGCGTATTAACAGAGGCTGAGTGAACTGGTCTCCTCTCCTTCCGTTCCCAGTAACTCCCAAATCTCCCACGGTGAAGGAGGCTGAGTGACTGCCACCCTCTTCAAAGGAGGCGAGGGGACGGGCCTCCCAGGCACACCCCATACACCCACGCACCCCAAAGCCAGGCTGAGCGCAAGTCAGACCCGGAGCGTTTTGCCTGATCTCTGCTACCTACCTTCTGCCTCAGGGCCACCTTTCCTGGGCCCCCGGCTCCTCAGGAGGGCCAACCCTGCGTCGTGTGCGGGAAGGGGTCGGGGGGCGGGGGTGGGACAGGCCTGCCCCAGTGCCTCCTGCCTCTCCCTTTCTTTCTTTCCTCCCCCAATGCCACCAGCTCCCGGTCTGGTGCACTCGCACCCTGTCCTGACAGGGTGCTGGGCAGGCTGGCACCGGTGGGTCTGATAACACTGGGTCCTGCTTCCGGGCCGGGTGGGGGGCGGGGAATCTGCCCTTTACAAGTGACCAGGGAGAGGGGGGAGTGCTGCAGGAGGGACAGAAACGTAGCTCCCTAGGGCCGGGGCAGGCCGCGAAGACCTTTCTGAGCGAGACTGCGTTCATCTAGAGAGGAAGGGGCCTCGAGGTCTCCACTGGTCTGGAAACAACGTGCCGGTGATGTTTTGACCCCTGGGCACATCAGCTGTGCTCGATTCATTCTTCCTCACTAGCGGGGCAGCCCCGTGAGGTAGGGGCTTCTGGCCCCTCTGGGCCCAGGAGAAGCTACAGGCCCCAAGAAGACTGTCGCCTGCGTGCTCGTACACTGCCCTCCTAAAATGGCTACTCTGTCTCAGGGTTTCTTTCCTCTCCAGTGAAAGGAGCTCTGGAAACAGCGTCCACAGCTCGCCAGGCTCGGGCTGGCTGTGCGGTACAGCTTACAGTCACTTTTGGACAGAGTTAACCTTTTCTGTGCACAAACTACTAGAAATAAATTAAGCAATGGTGGATGGAAAATGACATCACCCTGGTGGGGGAGGGGAGTGGCGGGAAGGCAAGGTGTCAAGAACCGAGAACCTGTCCCTCTTCCCTCCAAACAGGTGAGGACTCCGGCCATCTCTGTCTAATGCCCTAGGGTGCGGAATTGTGGCCTCCTCTCTGAGGCCAGACACACTTCCCACAGGCAGACTTTCAGGGCGTCAGACGAGGTCAGCCTCGCTGTTCTCCCCCGCCTCGGCCGGGTCTCCCCTGGGGAAGATGAGGGCAGGGGCGGGGTAGTCGGGGAAACTCTCCAGGTTGGTCTTCAGGAAGAGGAGGTGCTCTATGGTCGCCACCGGGAGAGGGGCGCCGTGCTCCGCAAGCGCAGGGCTGCCCAGGGAGGCACAGACGCTTCCGGAGAAGGCCGCTGTCGGGGGACAGGACAGGTAGACAGTGGCCAGTCTCGCCAGAGCCGGCCAGACCTCCTGCCTCTTCTCCCAGTAAACTAGCGGGTCTTCCTGGGCGCCAATTGTCTCATTCTCACGCAGGTACTTCTTGACGATGACACTGGCCAGATGGCTCTCGGTGGACAGCGAGGCTCCGCTTCTCTCGGACGCCAGCAGCCCCACGCTCTCCAGCTGCTCCAGCAAGCTCTTCTCCCTCTGGCCCAGCATCAGACACCCGGGGCCACCGCCTCCCCACACAGGCACTTCCTGGCCCTTCCGCTCAGCCCTGAGACTCCTGGCCACGCGGCGGCCACTTGGCGTGGGACCTGCATGACTTGCCCTGGGGCTGTGCAGGGAGGGCGAGGGAGGCAGGGAGTAGTCAGACACCATGACCTCCTTCACCTTGTACACAAGCACCTGCTTCCAGTGGTCAATGTCAGCCCCTGCGGGCAGGATGGACTCCATCTTGCCCTTGAAGCGGGGGTCCAGGAGGGTCGCCAGCACAAACTCCTTGCGGTGGAAGAGCTCGTCGAGCTGGCAGTCTGTGGAGAGCTGCAGGGCCAAGCCCTTGGCCAGGCGGACAGCCGCCCCTGCCTCCCCGCTGCCCTGGTCCTCGAAATGCCTGCTAACCTGCTCCAGGAAGATATGCAGGTAGCGCAGCTGGGGCAGCACCTGGCTTAGTGAAGCCTGCGCGGCGCTCGCCTCCTGGACTGCCACCCGGAAGGGCTGCAGGAGCGTGACCAGACTGTGCGTCAGGCTCCAGAACGTAGCGGACAGGGCCGTCCCAGCCTTGCCCAGCTGGTGTTTCTTCTCGTACTCCTGCAGCGGCTGCTGCTGCTCCACCAGCCACTCCAGCAAGCAGCAGGCGGACACCCAGTGGTCCGAGAGCTCCCAGAAGGGCTGCTGGGCCGGGAGGCCACACTGCTGCTGCAGCTGGCCGAGGAGCTGCCGGGCCTCCGCAGAGCCCTGGAAATGGCCGCAGATGGCCTGGACCGTCCCCAGGATGAGCTGGACGCTTTGGTGGTGACACAGGAAGCTCCTGACCAGGGAGTCGAGACAGTGGGCGAAGCAGGGGAGGGGGGTGTAGCCCTCTGTCCTTGCTGCCTGCTCCAGGCTGGGGCAGCCGCCTGCCACCAGGAAGCCCGGCTGCAGGGAGCTGCGGCTGAGCCACAGGCCCACCTGCTCCCGCAGTGCCCGCTGCCGCTCCTCCAGAGAGCTCTCCCGGGGCAGGCCTCGAACCCACAACACGGCCTGCTTTCTCAGGCTCCCCGACGCCACCTGCCGGCTTCCCGGCCGTACTGCTCCCCAGTGGGCGGTGACAGCCACGTAGTCCACCACCGCGTCCTGGGCAGCGGCGGACATGGTGAGGTGGGCGCAGCTGCCCTTGGCCCACTGCATCTCCCGACACACGTGCGCACCGACGGCCTCCCGGAGCAGAGGCAGGGCTCTTCCGGAGAAGAAGGCTGGAGGCGGCACGTGGTAGCTAGGGTCAACCTGGGCCATAAACCTTCTGAAAGGCGGCGATGAAACAAAAGACAGCGGCAACGCCAGGCTGCAGAGCAACTCGGCGATGCTCTGGGTCCAGGCCTGAGCCCGGGGCTGGCGGAGGGCAGATGAGCCACCCCTGCCCTCCCCGACCGCCAGCGGGCAACTGGCTGGTTCATCTTGGTGGGAAGGAGGCAAGAGCGGTGGAGCCGGTGACAGCTGCTCAGGCCCGCCTGCGGCCAGCTGCCTGTCACCGTCCACCAGGGGGGAGGCTTCTGCGTGGTGTCCTGGTGACGGCAGCCCCTGGGGGGCGAGGCCAGTGGTCTGTGAGGGTGGGCCCCTGTGCTTTTTCTCTGGGGCACCTCCCCGCATCTCCCCCGGGCTGGCTGCAGTTTGCCTCCCCTCTCTCTCTAGTCCGTGCTTACTCACCAAGTGACAGACCAGGCCTGAGGTTCGGAAATGCCCCTTAAATTTGCCCTGCCTGACGCTGGCATGACACAGAGTGCAGGTGACCCGGCAGGCGTTCTTGCAGTCAATGGTAAAGAACCGTCGGAGATCGGCCGCGCCCTTGTGACCCGTGGTGTCCGGGGGGCTGGGGGGCTGCCCGGGAGACGCCCAGCCCTTGGTCTCCGCTTTGAGAGTCCTGACCAGCTTCTTCAGGCAGGGTGGCTTCTGGAGGCTCCCCAGCAGTGACTTGTCCCCAACGGCCGCAAGCAAGTGTCTCTTCTTCCACCTCTTGAGGCGTCGCACCTCTCTGGCCAGATGGGCGATGAGGAGGTCAGTTTGCTTTGCCTTCTCTTTCTCGCTGGGCGGGCCCACCTCTGGCCGGTCCGCGCCGGCTGACTGGAGCCGCGGCGGGGTAGAGGGGGACCGGCCGGAGCCGAGCACTGGGTCCCTCGGCTTCTTTCCTGCCTGCTCCCCCTCCTCCCTCTGCCCACGTGCCTTCTGCTTGGACACCTTCTTCCCGGGCTGCCCGGTGGGCTCCGGCCCAGGCACACATTTGAGGCTACAGAGGTCAGAGTCTCCCTTTGGCTTACTCCGCCCAGGGCTGGCCTGGCACTTTTCACGGGAGGCAGCTGGGTGCAGACCGGGCCTCCCCGGGGAGCAGGCTTCGCTCACCTCTCGATGGACATGCAGGCCCAGGGTGCCTTCCTCCTGCGCCTCCAGGAAAACTCGGTCAGGTGCAGGGATGGACGAGGAACTGGGGAAGGGGTGAGGTCTCTTCCTCCGTAGGGGCAGATCCCTCTCACTCCCCTCCGGGGAGGCAAACAGTTCGATCTCGCTGTGGCCACTGACAGCCCTCTCTTCTAGATCCACAAACTCAAGTTTGACCTCGGTCTTCGGCAGGCGCCCCTCAGCACCCCAGCCAAGTCCGTGAGAGGTATTGGTGGCTCTGGTTTTAAACTTGGAGCCAGGAGAAGCCAGGGACGCAGCTGGGCTCCTGGGTCTGGTCACGGAGGAGTCGGCGCACACAGGCAGCCCCTGCCCCGCCGATCCTGAAGGTGTCTGCCTCTTGGGGGGCTTCCTGACTTTTTCTACTTCCAACATGCTTGGGAACTTGGGGAAATGAGAAGATGGGCCCAGGCTGCAAAGCAAGATGAAAAGAACGGCTCTCAGCTCCCCTACTCAACGGTGGGGACTAGGGGGGGGAAGGCCGGAGGGGAGAGAAGCAGAGAGACGATGGAAGTGCAGGGAGATCCTAGGAAATCAGCCCCAGGACAAAAGTCTCAGGACCACAACCTCCTGGGTGGAGGCTGCCATCCACTCCTCCGGACTGAACGGAACAGCCCTCAACCTGAATCCCCACGGCCCTCTGTGCGTTAGTGGTTTCTATGTCCATCTTTGCCAAACTAACTGAGGCTGCTCTTTCTCCTTTCGATGTCTATTGAGAACCCAGCGGGCACGTGATAATTGTGCCTTGTTGCGGATAACGTAGAAGGTCGGCAAGGCCCCTGTGTGCACGTGAGAGACAGACGCAAGTAAGTGACTGACCCGCACAACAGGGAGGTGCGGGGAAAGAAGGGGCGCCACTTGCAGCTGTGAGTCCCCAAAGAGGGGACAGATAGAAGTCAGGCAGGTCTCTCTGGAAGACGCGCAAGTGCCAGGTGCCATCAGCTCAGGCCGGGGGGCGTGGAGCCCACGTCTCTGCATCCCGGGCACCTGGGCTATGCCCGTCACACGGCAGGGCATCAAAAACAGGTCATGACGCTGGGTACTGGGCGGTGAGGCTGCCAGAGGCCTTGCTTAGATCTTGTGAAATTCCTTCTCTAGAAGTCAGCCTGCGTCAGGGACACGGGACAGGAGCACAGAACAGGGGAGCCCAATGCCAGTGACGCGTGCCCCCTAGTGCCCTGTCACTCCCCTCTCTCTGCCCCAGAGAGACTCCTGAAGAGCTGCTCGCGCTTCCTCACCTCCCACCCCCTCAAAGCCCACTCTGGCTCCGCCCCCTCTGCTCCCTTCTTGCCAAAGCCACCAGCGTCCCCCTAGGTACCGCCTCCAACGGGCCTCTCTGCAACCCACGGCGGCTGGCCCACGTCCTCTGTCTGGAAGGCCATCTTTCTGTGGCCCTGGGATGCCACACTTCCACCTGCACCTCTCTTGCGGTCTCTGTTCTGGCCCCTCTTCCTCCGCCTGTTTCTTCCTGCTGTTTCCCAGGGTTCACGCCCAGGTCCTGTTTCTTATTTCACACACCCTCCCCAAGGGGGCTGCGCTTGCACACTGATGCCCCGTGAGCCTCTCTCCGGCTCAGAGCTCTCTCCAGCTCCCGCTCACCTGTCTTCCTCCAGGCCCCTCACCCTCGGAAACGGGACACCGTCCACCCAGACGCTCAAGCCTAGGCACGACCTTCTCCGTGTTCCTTCTCCTAGAGATCAGGTCACATTCAGACCCAGGCACACCAGAAAAGAGACACCAAGAAGTCAGAAGAGAAAGACAGGAAAGGGAATGGGAAGGAAAGGAAAAGCCCAGCACGAGAACACATCTCTCTGGATAAGGGAAGCCTCACAGAAGGTTAACTAACAGCTCACCACACACTTCAGGAAGCAAGTGGACTTCAAGTCCCATTGCGCCAGCACAAGATGTGGCCTGAACAGGGAGATTTCAAACTGGTACGTTCTGACGCTGAGAGACACTAAACACCAAAAAGAATCACCACGGGGCGCCTGGGTGGCTCAGTCGGCTGAGCATCCGACTTCAGCTCAGGTCATGATCTCACGGTTTGTGGGTTCGAGCCCCGCATCGGGCTCTGTGCTGACAGCTCAGAGCCTGGAGCCTGTTTCAGATTCTGTGTCTCCCTCTCTCTGACCCTCCCCCACTCACGCTACCTCTCTCTCTCTCTCTCTTAGAAATAAATAAAACATAAAAAACGAAACAAAACCCCAAAAAGAATCACCACGCTGGGAGTGGAGCTTGCCTGAGACTCTCTCTCTCTCCCTCTGCTCCTTCCCCCGGCCACCAGTGCCCACCCTCTCCCTCACCCCTCTATTGCACATGCACGTAGGGAGAAAAAAAAAAAGAGAGAAAAATAGAATCACCAGGGAGGGCAGGACTGCCTTAGCAGGTACAAGCCCACCAAGGCAGCTCCAAAAGATTCTGACCGTGAGGAGGTGAGGGCACGTGACGCGGAGCCCCTCCCAGCTGGGAGAACCTCAGAAGGATTAGAGGCATCACGCCAGGGCCCCTGCCCAACAACCCAGCTGCTGCCGCACCGCATGTGTGACCCCCATGGGACAGGCACCGTGCAAGGGCTGAACAAGGGTGCCCGGGAACGGCGAGACACCGTCCTGGCCCAGAAGAAGCGCTCTGGGACGTCAGAACCGGGCTGGGCTTACCCCGGCTCTTATTTCATGACTGACGAATCGGAGAGCCTGAGTCCGGGCGTGAGGGTCAGTGGCAGAGCGAAGACCAGAGCCGGCAGCAGGCCTCCGGAAGTGGCTCTTCGCCACCACTGAGAGCTCAGAGCAAGCCACCAAAACCAGACCTGCCCGCAACGGTGACGGCCGAGCAAAGGGAAAAACACTGGGAAAAACACTGTGTGTTAGGACTGCGGCCTGGCTCACACCGATCCTGTTCTGTTCTCCAATTTGCCTTGTCCCATCTGTACATCTGTTTTGGTCGATCCACTCGACCACTTAATGAGAATTCACCAGATACCTGCCGTAAGCCAGCCCTGTGCCCTGAAGACACAAACAGAGGAGGGGAAGTACCCGGCTGGCACCCCTGGCCTTGGGACAAGAAGACAACCTGGAAATGGGCTCACGGCGCCAGACCACGGTAAGTGGTGTCTGCGCTGTGGCGGCAGGGCCGCGGGCTAACCTATAGATAAGTGACACGGGACAGATTCTATGACACTGGACTTTAGACTCTGTCTTGTGAGGGGCTGCTTACCTTCAGCTACTGCTTCAGGATCCTCAAATCCTGATGGACTCCCTGAGGGTATATTTGGGACCCTGCGTAGGCGCAGTCACCGATGGTAACACACCGCTTTCTCTTCCACCAAAGCAAACGGGGACGACCAACTGGAATTGAAGTGAATCTGAGATGTAAAATTTGAAAAGAAAATCATTCAAAAACTCCAGTACTTTGATTATCGGTAAGAAGTTATTTATGACATTTCTCCCGAGAGACGACAGGTGCACTTGTGAGGACAACTGCGTGACAGGGTCCCTCGGGCTACACCCTGGGCAGCATCAGGAGTCCCACAGTGGGGCCACATGAGGCAGGCACACGCTCCGGGGGCGAGGAGGGCCGGAGCAGGTAGTGGCAGAGGGACTGGGGCCGAGGGGACAGTCTGGACAGCTCTTCCAGAGACACATGTGGAGGAGAACCTAGGGACAGAGAGGGGACTCCCTCGTGATCCCCTTTAGAAGTGCAGGTCACTTCTGGTTATACTTATTCGAGGTTCTTCTGCAACAAATCTTTAGAAGGACGTGTGACAGATACAGGGTCGGGTCTGAGCTAACGGTACAGATCCATGTGAAAGTCTCCACGGACACTAAGGGAAAGGGCTGAATGGGGGAGAGAGGGGCGGGCTGCTGGCCAGGCAACACTGCCACTGCAGAGGCCAGAGGGGGAGGGGACTTCCAAGATGACAGACAGACACAGAAGAAACTAAAGGCAAGTTAGGGAGGCCAAGAGAAGGCTCTCCAGGCAGGCCAGGCAGAGTCACAGGTCGCTGCAGAGGACGAAGAAGACAGAGACATGGTCGTGTGCTAAGGACTGGGGTGGTGAGGGAGGGGCACAGGTGCCTGCCATGTCAGAGGTGGGGTGGGGAAAGGAGGGCCACACTTTGGGACGGGAGGTAAAAGGCTTGGCTCCATCTCCAAACAGAGAAAGGGGCGCAGTGGGAAGAGAAAATAAACAGATGCAGGAAAGCAGCAGTGATGGCAGGAACTTTCTTTGGGAAAGGGATGCAGGGCACCGGCGGTGAGCAGGTTCATCTTTGGAGATGAGAAGGAATCTGTTTTCTCTGAGAGCAAAGAAGGATGGCTGTGGGGCCAGGCAAGCCCTTGAGTGCGGCTGGGGGAAGGAACTGAGGCAGTTTGTGCCCAGGAGCCTACAGATTCCCCAGGGGAAGCCATACATCTACAGCCTGAGCTGGGAGGTGCCTCAGCGCGTACATCTGTGCTGGCTGCAAGGAGCAGGGCCTTCTTCTAACTGCTCTTAGCAGCCCTGTCCCCATGTGCGCGCCCAGAAGGAAAGGAGCCACTTCTCTATTTCTCTGCCTGCCTGACCCCAGAGCCTTGTGCAGAGCTCAGCCCGCCCTGGGTATCTCCTAACTATGGCGCCCCTGCACCGAGGTTTCACTGCCCAATCCCACACGCCAGCCCCGTCTTGTCTTAGCTTGTGCACGGTCTATCCATCCCAGACCCCAGGACATTTCAAGGCACCTGCTGGGCCCTCAAGTCCTGGGCTCTGCATGTCCCCCCCCCCCCATTCACCTGCAGGGAGAAAGATGGTGAAGAATGGGAGGAAGGAAAAGAGTAGAGCAAACTACTATATATTTTGGGGGGTCCACCCGCGCGCGAATGTGGCTAGCTGCAAACCCTAAGCGCGACATTTTAAGTAATAACCGCGCGTCGATAGATTTCACATTACGCAAAAGTGACCGAAGATGAGATCGGTTTTAAATTACACACCAGGAGAGCCCGCTGCTGTTTTTTGCGCGGCTGCTTTCCTTAACGGGCTGAACGGCATGAGGTCGGGAGCCGGGGGACGGGGGCTGAAATCCTGGCTGCTACCCACACAACAGCTGGCTACGACCCCGCACTAGGGTGCCTCGGGTTTCTCATCTACACAACAGGGACAGCAGTACCCACCCACAAGCTCACAGGCTTGTTCCGTGAGCTAAAATATCCAAAAGACTTCAAGGGCAGTCCCTGGCACAGAGCGAGTGCTGGACAGAACCGCTGTCCGGTACATTGGGCCTCACCGGGCCCGTTTTGGGCGCCAGGCGCTGGGAGGTGGCTGCCGGCCAGGGAGGGAGACCCTGGGGCCATCTGATGGGCGGGGCCGGGCCTGGTAAGGCGCCCCACCCCCAGCCGCGGCGGCCGCGGCGGTGAAGGGGGTACCGCAGCGCCCCCTCCCCGGCTTACCTAGGGCCTGGGGCCCGGGGGGTGGGGGGCTTGGCCGCCCGCTGAGACGAGGCCCGCGAAGCTGCGAGGCCGGGCGCCGCTCTCGACACAGCCGACAGCCCCGCCGCGGTCGGTAGTGACCAGCCTGCCGCCCCACCGGCCGCCGCGCTTCGTCCCCAGCCACGGCGGGAGCCGCCGGACGGCGCCAAAGGCCCAAAGGAGCCGCGGTAGGGGGCTCGGGTTCCGGCACGCGCGGGGGCTACTTCCGGGAGCGACGCGCGCCCACCCCTGCCTGCGGATGGTACGCTCCTCCTGCCGGCGGCCAGGCCCCCAGTGCGCAGGCGCGGCCGGCGGCGGCCGGCACCCCAGGGGCTTGCAGGGTCCGCTCCGCCAGCGGTCGCCGCGCTCTCCTCACCTTGACTGGGGGTCCTTAGCGGCGTGGCCTCGGAGAAAGCAGTCACACGCGCTGCGGGACAGTGGTGGCCTAGTCTTTATCTGCTAGCCGATGTCCGAGGCCCCTTGCGACCCGCGCGCAGACAGAAGGAAGCGCAGCAATTGTAATCCGGGGTCTTTTCCAGCCTTGAAGGCCCACCTGGCAATTCGGGAAGCCCCTCCCCCCCGCCCCGGGGGGATCTCCCGGGGCAGTTTCCCCGCTGCTTGGCGGTGGTGCCGCAGCTGGGACAAGTCTACTGGGACACCCTACCACCTTGGGCTGGGCAGAGAATGCCCTTTCGCTACCAAAGTGCCCAAGTCTTGTGTCACCGGCTACCTTGAGCTTCTTGGCAGCTCTGGGGTCAGACTGATGAAAGGGCCTAGGCTGGGGTCACTACCTTAGGCAGTGGTTGCGGGTTTTACCCTCACAGCGCCCCTCCCCTGGCCCCCAGCAAGCCAACCCCAGGCTGGTCCAGTCCTCCAGTTTGGGCTAAAACTGCGACCTCTGCAACAAGGGTTCACATCTTTACGCTTTATCGAGTCTTTTTAAAAATTTATTTCTAAACAAAATAAAAAATAAAAATTTATTTCTAAATTTATTTTAAGGGAGTGAGAGAGCTCATGCGTGGGCACAAGCCAGGGAGGGGCAGAGAGAAGGGAAAGAGAGAATCCCAAGCAGGCTCCGCGCTGTCACCGAGTAGCCTGATGCGGGGGTAGAACTCACCAAGGGTGAGATCATGACCTGAGCCACAGTCTATAGCCGGATGCTTAACCGACTGAGCCACCCAGGGGCCCCGATCACGTCGTTTATAATGTTATTTGGTTGTCTCAGTGCCTCAGAGATGTCCACGTGCCAGCACCATTGTTTTCATTTCTGTAGCTTTGCACGTCGTGACTTTATCATACCTTTGTATCTGGGAGTGTCCCCAAACTCTGCTTTCCCCGTAATTTCCTGGTTAGTTCTCGCATGTTTATTTTTTCCTGAGAACTTGAGAATATGCATATCTATTCTAGTATCCACCGCTTCCCCTCCTCCCCCATCTTTAGTGTTTTCATTGAGAGGATGCTGCGTTTGTAAGTTATGTCATGGACTTTTGACAGGAAACAGAAACACAGATACATGGGGCGCCTGGGTGGCTCAGTCACTTAAGCGCTCGGCTTCTGTTTGGGTCATGATCTCCGGGCTTGTGAGTTGGAGCCCCGCATCGTGCTCTCTGCTGTCAGCTCGGAGCCCGCTTCCGATCTTTGTCTCCTTCTCTCTCTCTTCCTATCCCACTGTGCACGCACGCATGCTCACACTCTCTCCCTCTCTCTCTCTCTCTCACTCAAAAATGAACATTTAAAAAATAAAATAAGAGGGCGCCTGGGTGGCTCACTCGGTTGAGCGTCCAACTTTGGCTCAGGCATGATCTCAGTTCATGGTGTCGAATCCTGCATCAGGCTCTGTGCTGATGGCTCAGAGCCTGGAGCCTGCTTCAGGTTCTGTGTCTCCCTCTCTCTCTTTCTGCGCCTTCCTCATTCATGCTCTGTCTCTCTCTCACTCTCTCTCTCTCAAAAATAAACTTACAAAATAAAATAAAATAAATACAGATACCCAAACAGGCCCCAGACATCCTTCATGATCCTCAATTCCCAGGTCCTACCTCATATATCAAAGTGCTCACAGTGGATCAGCATGGTATCTGTGATGCTTTATTGGGAACAAAACAAAAAGGAAAATGAAGCTGAGGTCCTGGCAGAATAAAGAGTGGCAAGGAACTAACGTATATAAAAATAAAGTGATTACTAACTCCTACTTACTGGTGAGGCAGCCACTTTAATCCATTCTCTGGGCTCATATTCGTAATCTCCATGAGGCAGGCACTATTATTATAGCAGCTGAGCAGTAAAACTGAGAACCATAAAGATTAAGTAACTTTCACCCAACTAACAATCAGTGGAAGGCAGCCCAGTGCTTGATTCTTCACTCCCAATCTTGAAGCCAAGCTGAGCTGCTCAGGCCAGGTGAACGGCCTTTGGGAGGCTGGGCAGAAAGAAAAAAGAGAAGAACATGCTTGGGAAATCGATTGCTGCAGACTAAGGGCCTGGTTGTTGCACGTGGTAGCACAGCCTATCCAGGGCACAGCTTCTGTAGTTCTGAGCCCCGTACTCCTGATGCGTGAGATGCAGAACAGGCAGGTGAAGAGACTTGCCACCTCAGAGTCTCCCAGGTCTTTGTCGGGGCTGATCTTGTCCTGAAAGACTGAACTTTTTCAGATGAAGGGGAGAGGCTGGCTGCTATCACAACCCTTAGTCGTAAGGTTAGGGACACGGCGGGGGGGGGGGGGGGGG